TTTTATAATGGAAACACATCATATAACAATATAATAATGAAATTTTTCACTCTCCGAACGAAACTTGTTTTCAAGCCGCTTTTTCACGAGTGGCGGATTGGCCCACTCCTATATTGTTAAAAACGTCAAATTTCAGGTTCATTTATGGAAAAACTAACTTGCTACATTAGAAAGCTTACAAAAAAACCCCCAACATATGAGACATTTAAACGGTTACCTCTTGATTTATGAACTTTTGAAAAAGTGTTTTCAGACTAGTGCCCAGGATTTTTGTGCGTTTTTGAACCATTTTTCGCATTTTGGAACAGCGATAACTCGAACATCGCTTGAAAAATCAAAGTAATCGTTTAAATGCCTTATATACAGTATAGTTTTTTGTACGCTTTCTAATGCTGCAAGTTATTTTTTTATAAATAAACCTGAAATTTCACGTTTTTAGCAATATAGGAGTTGATAAGAAAATCGAAGAAAAACGTGTTGGCAGGAGCCCACAAGACATTTGAACGCCGCCAACATACAGAAATGTACCTTCTAGCCTTAAAGGCACAAGATGAAGGCAAAATAGAATTGCGCGGTGATCGGGTGAGTTATTTCCCTCATATCTGCCAGATTATATGCTAAAAGTGCTTGTGTTTCTTGTGTTCAAGGCATCTCGTATGGGTGCTGAAGCAGCTCTTGCTGTCCTAGACGCTGATGAAGATTCTCCTCCCTCTGTGATCTGCATTGATGGAAACCAGATTGTGAAAAAGCCTTTAATGGAATGTGTTGAAAGGGTACTTATCTTATACTATTTTGAAATACAGTAAACTGTGGTTCCTTGGTCGCTTTTTATTAACTCGGCGAGACCGGTCGGAACGGTCAAATTGTTGAATGGAACACAAAACGTTTGGGCTTCGGTCCTTTTTGACCGGAAAATTTGGATCAAATTAGAAGGCCCATTTTCGCTAGGTTTTCAAGAAACGTGGGCCAGATCTTTCCATTAAATCCGAATCAGAAATTCTGGTCTAACCGGTCTGGCCATTAAAGGAAAACGCCCCTAGACTGTTTTAAAACGTATATATTATTGGTCGCCATATGTGTTCGAATAGACCTTTCCCCTCATGAGTGAAATTTTGATCTATAGATACGCCTGGACAAAAGAGCATTGATGCAGCTTGAAAGAGCATCACAAAATTAGTAATATTCCGAAGTGTCGTTGCGAAATGTTGTAAAATGCGGATAATATAGCCTTGCGAAGTTTGCCGTTTTTCAGTCATTTTAGGGAGTTTAAGCTTCACGTTTCCGTGAACGGCAAACGGCAGGTTCGAACTTTCTTGGCAAAACTTTCGTAGAACGTTTCCGTTTCATATTTTCTTTCTTGCGTCGAAAGATTAATTATCTATTTCAGTTTTAAAACAGCAAGTTCATTTACTCTTTATTGCCTGATACCGTAAAATTTTTCTTTGCCTGGCGTTTGCCGTGATGAAATTGTTGTCCAGACTTGTCTAGATCAAAATTTCACTCAAAAGGGGAAAGGTCTATTCAATGGCTAAAAAGAAGCGATCGCGCAACGTACAAATCACTACGTTATCTGTTCAATGAATAATAACTTATCTGTGAGCATAACATTATAAACACGAATGCGTAGTATTATCGCAAGAGCTGCTTTTATGGTAAAGACTTGTCTTCATTGTTGTAGACTTTATGTGTTCAGAAAACGATCAGTGAAAAGAAGTTTCAGGATGCTGTCGCTCTTCGAGGCCGGTATGTACTACTTCGTCCTCAACATTTCCTGGCGTGCGCAACCCACATTTCTGCAAGTAATTTGAAATCTCTAACAAATCCGAAATATTTCCAGGTCGTTTCAGATAACTTTGGATGTATTTCGAAAATTACGACTTGTCTCTCCCCCAGCTGAAAGTAATTGTTCATCAAGTGGAAAATGTCAGGTATAAGATTATAAAATTTTATTGTCTTAATGGTCCAGAATTTATATATTGTATAAGGTTTGCCGTGAATTATCTGCTACTGACTGGGACCTATATTTACTGTAATTTGGTGATGGTTTTACTAGAGGGTGCCGGAGGGAGTTATCCTATTAGTATCGGCAAATTAGAGATGGGGGGAGGGTACACGTCAACGTTACCGAGTAATGCAAATTTGTGATGGCACGTAGTTCAGTTTAATTTTTAGCCTCGTTTTGTTGGCGTATACACTAATTAATGAGTGATTGCTCAGGTACGGTTAAGTGTAAAATTTTCGGGATGGGTCAAATTTGAGGAGAGTAAACAATGAAATAACTAGAAATAATAGATAGAAATGTCGAGTGTGATTTTTTATACATTTATTAGACCTATACAGGGTGTCTCGAAAAAAACGCTATGGAAATTCAACAGGCTGTCGTGCATCATAAACTTAGCTAAACAATTCAAATTTTACATAGGACGAAAGAGCTGTTATTTTCTCTATGATACAGTACCTTTTTTAGATCGTAACGATGAGAAATGGCCACATACTATATCGTCAAATATAAATTGCCGGTCGAAATCACATTCTTCTACCGTTGGGAATTGAAAATACATGCATTGCATAAATTATGCAAAGTTTGTCAATCCAAAAGCAACGCGAGCCTGCTGCAAGCTATTTGTTTCGTAAAATGTTTTGATTACGAATGTTCTCTGTTCAGGGGTTAATTGAACCATGTTTTATGGACGTTCTTGTTGAGTTATTGTCTCACTAAGACGAAGATTGACGAGTTGAGCTCATCTTAGACAATTTAACATTCAATTTTAATTCTCTCTTGGGAATTGTCTATTGTTCGTTTTCCATGCGATTCCCAACGGTGGAAGAATGTGATTTCGACCGGCAATTTTTATTTGACGAATATGTGGCCATTTCTCATCGTTACGATTTAAAAAGAGTATCATTGAAAAGCTAAATAACTGTTCTTTCGTCTTATGTAAAAATTGAATTGTTTAGCCACGTTTATGATGCACGACAGCCTGTTGAATTTCCATAGCGTTTGTTTTTTTAGACACCCTGTATATATAATCAGGACCAATTGCGAAAAATGCAACTATATAGACCCTCTGGCAGGAATCGAACCTGCTGGCCTGCGATTCTGGTGTAGCGCTCTAACCAACTGAGCTACAGAGAGACAGTTGCCGAGCTCGAGCCACGAGTTCTTGTTTTATATAAAACTTTACACTCGAAATTTGCATCTACAAAAACCTTCAACGTTTAGTTGCTCAAAATCCTGATATTTACCCAGCAAAGGTTTCTCCCTGTTTTTCGTACTGTATATATAACTATTCTTTACCTAAGGGTTACACATTGGCTTTGATCAATGTTGGTGCGCCTGCTGGCGGGATGAACTCCGCTGGCCGTGCTGCTGTCAGGCTCGCACAATATGAAGGTCATACGGTACTTGGAATTAGGGATGGTTTTGATGGACTGATTGCAGATAAGGTAAGTAGACTGGTGCAGAGTTCATTCATAGAAGTTTTAGTTAAATATTAAAATTAATATTAGGATAACAATTAACATTTCTAAAGCTCAAATCAAATGCGCTTTACATCAAGTATTATGCTTACCTATAATTACATACTTAGCCTATAGACTATTTTATCTTCACAACAATGAACAACTTGCATGTTAGACTAAATTTTAATCTAAGTAAAGAGAAGGGAATAAAACAGAACAGTTCAGAAAAAGAAAGGAATGAAATTAGTAAAATTGCAAAATTTGGTGCGAAATGTTGTAAAATGTAGAAAATATAGCCTTGCGAAGTTTGCATATTTTCAGTATATTTGTATTACGTGCGGAAATTGTCAAAAATAGTAACAATTTCCTCACGTAATACAAATATACTGAAAATATGCAAACTTCGCAAGGCTATATTTTCTGTATTTTACAACATTTCGCAACCAAATTTTGCAATTTTACTAATTTTAGTAAGTTCTTTACGGGAATTTACTTTTTTTTTCCTAAATCAAAAATTAGTCTAACATGCAAGTTGTCTATTGTGGTATTACTCGCTTTATTATTAGCATGACAAAATTACTGGATGCTGATTGGTTGAGAGGAGTTTAATTGTACTGCAGTACAATTAATGATTTTCCCAAAACAAACAAAATGGCGGAAACGTATTTTAAGCTCAAGCGTGAAATGAAATTGCCGTGGAGGAACTAGATTAAAATACGAACAAAATCACCACATTTTGCTTTAACAAAAGAACTAAATGAAAATACAAACAAAAGCACCAAATTTTGGTTGAAAGTCTGGCGGGACTGGGCTTTGGCGAGAGAATATGATGCTGACATTGAGAAGTACGTATGCAATTTTGTCATGCTAATAATAAACAAGTACTCGTGATGTTTGGAAATTTGCCAAATTGGATTCGCCCCGGCGGCTCGTCCAATTTTGGCAAAATTTCCAAACATCACTCGTACTATTAATCCCTAATTGTACGAGCAACATCGCATGATTACCTATACTAACTGTGTTTATCCTAACCCACCCTGTCAACTTTCCCTGTGGGAGGAAACCGGAGCACCCGGAGAAGACCATCGACTTTCGGTAGAGCGTTGACTGACTTTTTTCACATCAGTCTGCAGCGAGAATCAAACCCACGAACTTTCTCTGACGACTGCGCCACCGAAGCCCCAAAGAGATAAAAGAAGTAAAATCCACTGAAATAATTTTGTTCAAGTATTGTGCAATGGACCATTCCCCAATTGACCAAAATTTTGATCTCAACAAGTCTAAACAAAATTCCATTATAGCATGAAAGAGCATCACAAAATTAGTAATATTCCAAAGTTTCGTTGCGAAATGTTGTAAAATGCGGATAATATAGCCTTGAGAAATTTGCAATTTTCAGTCATTTTAGATTACAAACGAGAAATGGTTACCACTTTTCCAAGATTTTGATCTAAACTAGACTAAACAAAAATGTCATCACAGCTTGAAAGAGCATCACAAAATTAGCAATATTCCAAAGTTTCGCGGCAAAATGTTGTAAAATGCGGATAATATAGCCTTGCGAAGTTTGTGATTTTCAGTCATTTTAGATTACGCAAAGAAGTGGTAACCGTTTCCCGTTTGTAATAAGTAAATGACTGAAAATTGCAAACTTCGCAAGGCTATATTATCCGCATTTTACAACATTTTGCAACGAAACTTTGGAATATTACTAATTTTGTGATACTCTTTCAAGCTGTGATGAAATTTTTGTTTGGACTTGTTGAGTTCAATAATTTGGTTAATTGGGGAATGGTCCATTGGTGGTTTGCAATCAATCTCTTGAGATTTACAAGACAAAGACATGGTGGCCATGTTGGAGGAAAGATAGCTCCAAATGCAAGAGCTGTTAATGAGATTCTTTTGGTAACTTTCCTCCATCAATTGCAAACCATCAATACACTCTAAAAACCATTCTGGTGAAAAATTCCTGGTTGATGTTCCTGGTGAAATTTGCTGGGTAATTTAACCACAGTCCTGGTTAAGTTGATCACTATCCTGGCTAATTTAACCAAGATTGCTTGCTAATTTAACCAGGCTATATGGTTGAATAGACAAATTTGCTTAACGTTTGTTTATACCCAGTTCACAACATTAGATACATGCCTAATTATCATTGTTCTAGTATACACAAGCATAGGATAGAACAAAGGTAACTAAGATTTGCTGTGTTGGTGTTGTGTACTCAGGTGAATATGATGTTTGTGATGTTAGATTATATTCATATCGATGGAACTAGACTCAGTTCTGAAATATCACATACTCGAACCGACCTGACCGCGTAGCTCAGTTGGCAGAGCATTGGGCTAGTATTCCAAAGATCGTAAGTTCGATTCCCATCGTGGCCAGGCATATTTTTCAAGCCTGCCCGGTGTGGATAACACTCAGAGTATTTACATCACAAACATCAAAGGTAACTAAGCTTAAGAATTATCTGCATGAGTTTTTTGATTGATTGACATCTTTCTATTAAACACGAGATCCATTTCACAAGTTAAAATATCTACTCTTCAATGGAGACGTGTACCTATGCTAGTGAACTAATTTCTAATAAATAAATATCAAAATATTTACAAGAGTTGCAGACTACATATATGTACAGAAATTGATATAATACAATCATTAAGAAATTTTAGACTTTTTAAGGAATTTTAGAATTTTTATTTATTAAGAAATTTTAGAATTTTTATGACTCTTAGGGACCGGTCATTAATAATGGGGGGGGGGGCGGTGGAGATGATAAATACCAAATATTGAACATTTTTTAGAGCCGCCCCCAATCGCAAGACCTTTATTTTCAAGACGCCCCCACCTTCATCTAGAAAACTTAGGACCCTCCCCCCTCCAACATTTAGTTCGTTACATTTTTTGTTGTAAAATAAGTAATGGGACAATACTGGGGACCAGTATTCAAAATGGTTGTTATTTATTCCTATTCCTATGGTGAACTGAATTTGCGTAATACACTATGGAAACTACGATTATAGGAACTAAAAAATGTTTAAATATTTTGAAAATGAGTAGGAAAGTATTAAAAAATGTACTGTTGTCACATATTTTTCAGTCTGAGGGCGCCCCCAATTCACTCTTCGCTTTTCAGCGGAAGATAGGTCCACATAACAGCGACTTTTTATAATTTTTTTGATGAATGATGGTAAATTTGCTTTGTGAATGGTTAGTTTATTTTGAAAAATTGCTTTCATTGTCTGTACTGGTTAACGAGAATTAGATGCCACCCAGAAATGGCGGATATTCGTCATCGTGAGAGAGGCTAATTGGGACCATTTATTGGAACAGGTTAATGAAAGGATGGCTATCAGCCAACTAATCACGTCTATTTTTATAATGTAGGTTAAAACAATATCTTGGCAGGACGTCAACGACTGGGAAAGTGTTGGCGGCTCAAAAATTGGTACTAAGAGGTCAGCGGAATGATTATGTTAATATCGTTTGGTTGTTTAAACTACTTCATTTAATGTTTCATATATGCCTTTGTAAGCAATATTATATTGTTTCTGCCGTACTAGAACTCTACCTAGCAAACTTGGGATCGAGAATATTGCTAAGAAATTCAGACAGCATAAAATTCAAGGTCTTATCATTATTGGTGGATTTGAGGTGAGCTAATTGTGCGGACTGGATATGCGATATAGTCGGCATAGTCGGATTTGATTTTTCCATCCAGAAATTTTCTGACCAAATGGTCCCGTTGTTCAAGATTTTCTCTATCCCTGCTCAAACCTACTACATATAATGAAACGAGTTAACAGTGTTTTCAAGGCTGGATAATGGATTCTAGTGGAAATAGTGGGGGAGGTGGAAAAAAATATTAGAGGAGGTGCAGCGGTGTGGCTGGCGACCCCCATGGAAAGTTAGGGCTTAGCACAGGCCAAAGTCAACGACGTGACGTATGCATGTAGCGTGCATATGTATTAATGAATTATGACTGTACAAGTACAACTCATTCAATTTTGCCCTTCATTACAATTACTACAAAGTTTCTTTCAAAACATCGCATTAAAAGGATACTTGACACAGAGATGAATGGCTATCACTGATTCAATTTTACAGAAAAACTTTCTTACGAAGTGTAGACCCTAAGCAACAAAAATGACAAAAAATGTTAAATTTTCACTTTGATCTATCATTGAAAATTTCCGAAGGGGCAGATGCATGACTTTTCAGGGAAGGTGCAAAAATTCTCAGGGGAGGTGCGCACCTCCACACCTCCCCTCAAAATACAGTACGAGTATTTTCTCACACTAGGTTGACCACCATCTCTACGATAGTGCTTATAGTGAAACCTACCTAGACCTTGTTGCATGGCTGAAGCCTGAAGCTAGGGTGCCATAGAGCAACACTACCTCTATGGTTTATGGGGCTAATTCCAATTTTAAATATCGAAATAAGCCTGTAGTAACTGCTATCAATCCCTTAAAAATAGCTGTTAAACAGCTAGTATAGCTGTTAAGTCAAATTCAAAAGCTATTGGGGCAGGATCTGCCTGAGTCGTACACCAATTGGAGTTTAATTTTAGAATCCATTCTCGTCTACAGGCCACTAGTTTTGATTACCTACCTCTATTCAAAGATTGGCTACTTCCGCAAAAGTAAGACCTACAGGCGTGCCTTGTTGCCGAAAACTCGTTCAAAATGGCCAATTAATAATATACTGTGTATTCTTGATTTTGTAGGCGTATCAAAGTGGTATTGAGTTAACAGAAAACCGTGAAAAGTTCCAAGCATTTCGTATCCCTATTGTTGTAATACCTGCTACGATCAGCAACAATGTTCCTGGGACTGAGTTTAGTCTGGGCGCTGACACTGCTCTCAATGTCATTGTTGAGGTAGGATCATTTCATGTCATTTAAAACCACGATCAAACGAGGTTGAGAAGCGAGAGTTTGCATGTGAGTTTTCTCAACTCTCGTGCCCCGTCATTTCTTTTAAAAGCAAATATTTGCATTGAAATCACAAGCAACACATAAGGAAATTATGAAGTATTGAGAATATCAAAATTCATCAGGAATCATGAAAGCAAACTGCAGTTAAAATTAAAAAAAAAATTAAAACTGCATTTAAAATTAATTAAAACTGCATTTAAAATTAATTCATTTTAAATTGAAAACTTAAAACGGTTTGCTGATACTAAATTTTATTCATTCCTGATGAACTTCTACAACGCAAAAACGTTTCTTTTAATGTTTCTTTTGGTTTCAGTGCAAATTTGTGCTTTCAAAGGAAATTTTGGGCGTAAATAAACAGTAATTTTATTCACGTGACTAGTCACGTAATTGCTGCATGTTTGCGTCAAACCAATGTGATACTGAATATAATTTTTGTATGTTAAAATTTAATTTAGTGATTATTTATTTATCTATTGCAGTCTCTAGATCAACTAAAGCAGTCTGCCAGTAGCGCTACAAAACGTGTGTTTGTTGTTGAAACAATGGGTGGTTACTGTGGTTACCTAGCAACGCTTGGTGGTCTGGCGAGTGGTGCTGACGCGGCGTATATCTATGAAGAACCTTGCTCTATTGAGGCTATCTTGGTTAGTCATTTCTTAACTTCGTATTTTTATATATGCAATGTGATGTTCATAAACATGCTGCTATATATTTTGCATGCTATACATGCTTGTATTACGCCCTATAGTGCGTCAAACTGGCACTGAATGGTTTAGTCAGACTAAGTTGCATTGCGTCCTACAGTAATATGCTCTATATTATTATTTTGCTTAGCCTAACGCCAGACGATTTTATTTGTCAACGGGAAAACACCGTCGCTCAGTAGGTTAATGAGTTGAGAAGAGTCTGTCCGGTGACGCAATTAATGCCCAAAATGCCCGTTCTCCTCTGAAGCTTGACAGAGTAAACAATTGGGGCGAATTTTGACTTAATTAGGCGCAATTAAGTGTCATTGCGTTCTCGTGTATATTATGTTACTTTGTCTTAGGGACGGACCATTAGAAAAGTGATGGGGGGGGCAATAGCAAAAATTACAATCGAGCAGGGCAAAAAGTTTAAAAAAAGACTTTTCAATAGGCAAAATTATAAGTTGTGTAAGGGTGGCCCCGAAATTTGGAAAATAAAACTTTTTTGATATAAGTAATAGTGTGAGAAAAAAGTTTCTAAACCTAAAATATTGAAGATATTGGTGCAAAAAAAGGTTTTAAGCATGGTGTAACAAGAATTTGTGAGGGAAAATTTTTTTTGAACCTTAACTTAACTGATGTCAGTCCGGAAAAATTTTTGGACCCTTTTTTTTATAGCAAGGGATGATTTAAAAAAAAAGTATCGACACAAGCAAAAAATTTTGAAAAAATAATACACCCCTCCCCATCACTTTTCTAATGGTCTGTCCTTTACTAATGCCATACTCCAATACTTTATCCATTTTGCTCGTCAATGAGAGTTTCGCGCATTAAGGAGAGGTTAAAATTAAATCATGATTTTTCTTCTATAGGATGACTGTAAACATTTGATCAATAAAATCAAGTATTCAGGGATTCAGCGTGGCATCATTCTTCGGTAATTCTCTTACTAATTTTTTTTCAGCATTCCTATTTATTCCATTCCTCAAAGCGGGAATAATCGTTGTCATCATCGTCATGCATACATGTAATCATCGTTTCAG